TGTAAGTCCCTCAAATCATACTTAAACAAGGTGTTCCAGATAATCTCCTCAATTGCGGAAACACAAATATCCCCGAATCCAGCACTAGCCCTTCTTCACATCGGAATTGATAAATATCCTACAAACTCACGCATTATCATTATACACATTCTAGCGGCTGCTAAAATTAATATTACCAAACTATGGCGATCCACTACAACCCCTCTTTTGTCACGCCTCTTTTCTGATCTCAATCTCCAATGTGAGATGGAAAGAAGAACAGCCCTGTACAACTCCTCTTATCATAGATTTAAAACTCAATGGTCTCGATGGTTAAAAAATCCTAATTGCTCAATACACTGTTGATTGATTACTAAAACAAAGTTTATATATCTTCCACATCCACTGAATAGGTGCTTCCCTTCCTCTCCCCCCCCCCCCCCACCCCTCCCACCCACCTTGCTCTATTATACTACACATCTACTACTATCAACCCATTATGGTTCACATTACATTGAGTATACCTCTCATGTATATTATATGGAATCTCCTTGACCCCCGGCCAAATGGTGAGGGTCCTATATTCCTTTTACTCATATCCTTTCCCATAGTTAAACAATGTTCACCCAAATGTGAATCTTCTCATGATGATATTTGTTACTTTTTTCATATATGTTAAACACTTCTTTTGGTTTCTCTGTTTTTCTTTTTCTTTAATAAAAATAAAAAATATTTGAATATAAAAAATATTAGACAAATTTAGAACCAGATGACTGGAGGTAAGAATTTTAAACATTCAATTTGTGAAGAACCATAAATTCTAATTTATCTGCTGTATATCTGAACTTTAGTTCTTGCTTGGTGCTGTCCTTTCTGTTTATTCAATACTTTCTGAGACACTGACCTGGCACTGGTCTGTAAATCCAGTAAGTCAGAGAAAGGTCAGAAATCTTTATCTGCATACTTGTTCCTGCTCAGTGATTTAAAGCAGTGTTTTTTGACCTTTTTTTAGACAAGGCACCCTTTAAAATTATGGACAGTCTTAAGGCACCCCATTCTAAAATGTGAAAACTATTTCAATAGTTTTATGTACCGCAGCAATATCCACACATGTAGGACACAAAACATTAGAGGTGATTTATTCTTCCAAAGCAAATACACTTTTGCACACTAGTACTGACTAGTATTCCAGTGTTTCTCTTCTCCCTCAGTTTTTCTCCATCACTGAGCTAATGTGACCCCAGCACTGATGGAGAAGGACAGGGGAGGGTCAAACTAGGATGCTGTGCAGGCAGCTGACATCCTTCTTATCAACTGATGATGTCATTGGTTGTCAGGACTCCCATGGCTAGAAGGTCGTAATGGTGCACAATGAAAACCTGTGGCTTTGTGTAACTAAAAGGTAAGCTCGTTTCACCTGCTGGCTTGTATACAAGCTTTTGGCAATTTTTAGACATTTTGCCAAGGCACCCCTGAAGGAACCTCAAGGCACCCCAGGGTACCTGGGCACCTTGGTTGAGAAAGGCTGATTTAAAGTATAGAAACATGAGGGTCAGTGTGTGACAGGTAGTCATAATGACCCTAAACTATAGGACTACACTAACTAGAATTTTCCATAAAATATAATAAAAATAAATACACATATTCAGCATAGACACAATTCAGATATCTTTTTACTCTTTATGTTTTAAATATAGAGAGAGAACATTGACAAGAGGTATTATTGAACAATAATCAGCAAGAAAATATCAGTTATTCAGGGTCTGGTTTTGAGTACATTTTTTTCTATTGTCTCTTCTGCTACTGCAAATATTGTACTAATGTAAATGCTATTTCTTGTGTTCAAACATGCATAATGAGATTTTGAAGGTAACATGATGGAATTTGGCCAAGTGGGCACATGACACTGTGTGGATGAGAGCCTAGTGAATGGTTTTAATCACTTTCAATGATTTCTCATGTACCATACAACGTTCGCTTTATGTGCAAAACTCTTTTGCTAGACTTTTGTCAACATCAAAACAATGTTGGTGCTTCTGGATTTCTTTGTAAGGATTTATTGTCTTTTACTATTGAATATTGATTCGACAAATCCATTTATAACCCAATTCATATGGGCTAGCTCCTGGACTACTATAGCTTGTTTGTGAATTTCTTGGAAGCTTTCTCATTTAAACTATTAGGTTTAAATTAGTTATTTTCTCATTTTATTTAATTTAAAAAAAAGTACAGAAAATACACACATTAAGAAAACCTTGCACTTGATGATTTCAGAAGGCTAACCAGAAACTCTCTGGGTCACCACATCTTGGGCATGGCCTGTCCAGACATATAAAAGAACACAAAAGGGAGTTGCTCTGGTTATCAAGTATTTTAACGATAATCCTGTACAGAAAATATTTTGATTGTTATCATCAGAACTGTTGTAAGAATTTGGGAGAGAAAACACCCTTTAAAACACTTGCATAGATATCTGTGAACAGAGAAATGTTATGCCCAGGTAAATTCCCCTCGGAGGCGGACTGTCGGTACACTTGTTCTATGCATCCTCACAACAGTCACAACTCAGAGATAAAGATTTGAAGAGCCGGCTACTCATCTTTCCCAAATACTAATCTTTATTACAACGAGTAAGGTGTTCAATTAAAATGGCTATACATTAATTGGCTATACAATTAAAGTGGACAATGTCCTGGAACTAGGTTTTAACACTACAAAGACCATGATATGTTAGGTGTCCAAACTAACTAAAATCTAAACTAAAATTAACTTAAAGTGTTACTAAACCCACAACAGTAAAATCAATCTGTATATGCAGTAAAGCATGTTTGGTATACTCACTGTGGAACCTAAGAGATTAATCCACTGCATTGTGTAAACATGCTGTTTGATCCTGACTTGTCTGATTCTCCCCTTCTTCCAGTGCCCCTCTCTTATTTTCTGACATATCGCGTTGAGACACTCTGCACATTCTCAGTTAGTGTGCATTGCTAGAGAGCTTTGTTTTTTTTCCTTGGGAGAGTGAATGTGATCAGCACAGGGCCAATCGGCACTGTCCAGACAGAGGTCAGGGGTTCTGCATCCTCCTACAGGAGAATGAAAACTCCTCCTACAAGCTTTAACCAGTGCTCTGCTGGACACTGATGACTGCTCTAACTGCTGATGAGAAAAGGTATTTAGCAGTTTATATTTACTAAAATAATTTTATTTCCATGTTCTGTGTACTGTGGGAGACCAGATATAGTGAATGTTAATGAAGCAGGCCAGAAATCTTTCTGAGAAATATATTTGTAATGAACATGAGCAAATATCTTTTACATAATATTCTTAATAGCAAAGGTAAAAACAGCAATAATTTTCAAGTAACATCCTATTGGGGATGTCAAGTTGGCGGATCAAAATTTAAAGCAGAACCTCAGGCAAACACACAAAAACACAGACGAACTGCAGATAAAGAAACTGATTGATCTGACAAAACAGTTGTATTTCCTTCCTTCCAATTCAGAGATTTAACACAATCCTACCAGATAGCAGGGACAGGCAGACAACACTTCTTTTGTTAAAGTTAGACTGAAGAAAAGGTTACAATGGTATCTTTTCTCCACCTCCGACCTGTTGACTGGTCAGTGAAAGAGCAGTATCAGCCTTTTTTTTACAGCAGTTAAATACACATTGCTTTTTAGGTGCAAGGTCTGCTTTAATAATTTATGAATTAATGCAGAACTGCATTCATTTCTATCATATCTGCCTGGAATTCTGTTCAGAATATTCTAATACCTGAGAATTTTCCAATCTCCATGAGTTGACTAACTAATGCATTGTATTGTTATGTGTAATTACCAAGGGCAGACTGACAACTCATGGGGCCCCCGAGCAATAGGGGATCATGGGGCCCCTGTGTCCTTGCCCAAACTCAAAAAAGCCTATGTAAAAGGTACCAGGGGCATCTCATGGGGCCCCTACTGACCTCGGGCCCTCGGGCAGTGCCCGAGTTTCCAAATGGTCAGTCCGCCCCTGGTAATTACACTCTGTTTTTATATTAAATGACTAATATTACTTGTAAATCAGCTAAAATTTAATATTAGGCTTACAATGCACTAACAGTGCATGTTGCTAACATGAAGAGAAAGCAAGGAACTGCATTGCTTATTCTTGCACTATGGTTAAGTTAAGTTCATGGGTCCACATTTTGTTAATCTTGTTTTTCAGAATTAGGGAAGGATAGTGAAAGTGTTTACGCTGCCTTCAGGAAGAAGGAGACGCAGGAACCACACAAAAAAAAGTGTGAAAATGAGAAAATTTGGAAAGCTGGTTACAATTAGGAGATGAGTATTACAACACTAGGAAAGACAATAAATAAATAAATTGCAATTGTTAAAAGATTGATCTTCTTCAAATAAATATTAATTAAACACATCCGGGGTTGAGACTGAATCAGTAGCAATGCTATGTTGAGGTTAGTTTGGTATTACATACGGTAAAATATTTTAGGCAACATTTTAATTTCCCTTACAACTATTAAATCATTTATTCAGTTAAAAAATGAAACCTCCATAACAAGGTATTCCCATCTTGAGAAATGCTTTATAATGTTTCTGACTGAGTTTTATTACACGAATGCAGCTAAAACTATCCTATTTTATTAATTATGTGCTCTGTGACAGATGGAGTGGTAAAACCAGAAAAAATGAAGGAGCTTAGAATGGTGTGTTTAAGGAGGGGGAAGCTGGATAACATTCAAAAGATTTTATGATTAAATAATTCAAGCTGCATTTGTCTCCTGTTGACATCATGTGAAATAAACATGTCTATGTGTTCTTTAGAATAAGCACTATGGTTAAAGCTGAGATCGAACCAAGCAAACAGTTACATTTTTATTTTTATATTTTTTCATATATATATATATATATATATATATATATATATATTGACAAAAGTATTCTGACACCCCTCCAAATCATTGGATTCAGGTGTTCCAATCACTTCCATGGTCACAGGCATATAAAATCAAGCACCTAGGCATGCAGGCTGCTTCTACAAACATTTGTGTAAGGCTGGGTCGCTCTCAGGAGCTCAGTGAATTCAAGCGTGGTACCGTGATAAGTTACCACCTGTGCAATAAGTCCATCTGTAACATTTCCTTGCTACTAAATATTCCACGGTCAACTGTTAGTGGTATTATAACAAAGTGGAAGCAACTGGGAACAACAGCAACTCAGCCACCAAGTGGTAGGCCACGTAAGATGACAGAGCGTGGTCAGAGCATGCTGAAGCGCACAGTGTGCAGTAGTGGCCAACTGTATGCAGAGTCAATAGCTCAAGACCTCCAAACTTCATGTGGCTTTCAGATTAGCACAACAATAGTGCATAGAGAGCTTCATGAAATGTGTTTCCATGGCCGAGCAGCTACATCCAAGCCTTTCATCACCAAATGCAATGCAAAGCATCGGATGCAGTGCTATAAAGCTTGCTGCTAGAGATGAGCGAATCGAACCAGGCGAAGTGGAATTCAGGAAAAATTCGATTCGCGTTGAATCCGAATATTTGCATAATTCGGGTGCGCGAATCAGATTTTTCCCGATCAGCCGGCAAAAGTGTCCCTGCAGAGAGCTCCGCTATTTCTGACAGTTCTCTGACAGTTCCTTCACATGTACAGCGGTTGAAACATTGTATCTATTTGTTTCCATTTAGGATACAGATGTTTTTTATTCGGAAATAAATAGATACAATGTTTCAACCGCTGTCAACCGCTGGAACTGTAAGAGAACTGTCAGAAATAGCGGAGCTCTCTGCAGATACACTTTTTGCTGTACTGGAATACTTCTTCTTTTTCATTCTTATTTTCATTCTTCTCATTCTTCTTTTCATTTCTTCTTTTCATTCTTCTTTTCATTCTTCTTCTCATTCTTCTTTTCATTCTTCTTCTTCTTTTCATTCTTCTTTTCAATCTTCTCATTCTTCTTTTCTTTTTCATGAAAAGAAGAATGAAAAGAAGAATGAGAAGAAGAATGAAAAGAAGAATGAGAAGAAATGAAAAGAAGAATGAAAAGAAGAAGAAGAATGAGAAGAAGAATGAAAAGAAGAATGAGAAGAAGAATGAGAAGAATGAAAAGAAGAATGAGAAGAATGAAAAGAAGAATGAAAAGAAGAAGAAGAAGAATGAAAAGAAGAAGAAGAATCTTTTCATTCTTCTCATTCTTCTTTTCATTCTTCTTTTCATTCTTCTTCTTCTTCTTTTCATTCTTTTCTTCTTCTTTTCATTCTTCTTTTCATTCTTCTTCTTCTTCTTTTCATTCTTCTTCTTCTTCTTTTCATTCTTCTTCTTCTTCTTTTCATTCTTCTTCTTCTTTTCATTCTTCTTCTTTTTCATTCTTCTTCTTTCATTCTTCTCATTCTTCTTTTCATTCTTCTCATTCTTCTTTTCATTCTTCTTTTCATTCTTCTCATTCTTCTTTTCTTCTTCATGAAAAGAAGAATGAGAAGAAGAATGAAAAGAAGAATGAAAAGAAGAAGAAGAATGAAAAGAAGAATGAAAAGAAGAAGAATGAATGAGAAGAAGAATGAAAAGAAGAAGAATGAGAAGAAGAATGAGAAGAATGAAAAGAAGAATGAGAAGAATGAAAAGAAGAAGAAAAGAAGAAGAAGAAGAATGAAAAGAAGAAGGAGAATGAATGAAAAGAAGTATGAAAAGAAGAAGAATGAAAAGAAGAATGAAAAGAAGAATGAGAAGAATGAAAAGAAGAATGAAAAGAAGAAGAAGAATGAAAAGAAGAATGAGAAGAAGAATGAGAAGAAGAAGAAGAATGAAAAGAAGAAGAAGAATGAAAAGAAGAATGAAAAGAAGAAGAAGAAGAATCTTTTCATTCTTCTCATTCTTCTTTTCATCGAAAGGCTCTTCTGCATCGAATCGAATTTCTTCCTCAAATTCGGCGAATCAGCCGAATCGAATTTTTGAATAATTCGCTCATCTCTACATGCTGCCACTGGACTCTAGAGCAGTAGAGACATGTTCTCTGGAGTGACAAATCATCCTATAGATGTGTCTGGGTTTGGCAGTTGCCAGGAGATTGGTTCTTGCCTGACTGCATTGTGCCAAGTGTAAAGTTTGGTGATGGGGGAAATATGGTGTGGGTTGTTTTTCAGGTGTTGGGCTTGGCCCCTTAGTTGCAGTGAAGGGAACTCTTAAGGCGTCAGCATACCAAGACATTTTGGACAACTTCATGCTTCCAAATTTGTGGGAACAGTTTGGGGATGGCCCCTTCCTATTCCAACATGATTCCGCACCAGTGCACAAAGCAAGGTCCATAAAGACATGGATGAGTGAGTTTGGGGTGGAGGAACTTGACTGGCCTGCACAGAGTCCGGACCTCAGCCCGATAGAACACATTTGGGATGAATTAGAGCAGAGACTGTGAGCCAGGCCTTCTCGTCTGACATCAGTGCCTGACCTCACAAATGTGCTTCTGGAAGAATGGTCAAACATTCCCATAGACACACTAAACCTTGTGAACAGCCTTCCCGGAAGAGTTGAAGCTGTTGAAGCTGTTATAGCTGCAAAGGGTGGGCCAACTGAAGTTTATGTGCGTGTAAAGGCAGACATTCCAATACTTTTGTCAATATACTGTATATATGGGAGATTTTTGACCTTGCAAGGGATTTTTTTTTCTGCTGCTCCATGCCCTGAGATTAGGGAACACATTCACACCAGTGCTGTGTAAAAATGAACTGTAAAATTCATGTTTTGCCAAGCATTACTGCAAATGCACAGTGACATGTTTATTTTGAAATAGTACCCCAACACACTAACAGCACACATGCCTTGTAAAACACCATAGTGCAGATATGTAAATAATCCATGGCTATACTCTATAATAAGGAAGAAAATATTAGAACTACGTATATGGGCATGGTGGGTACAATTTACCTCCTCTACACAATGCATTAGCACCAGAACAAAAATCTGAGACTGCCCTAATGGCCTTAATCCTTTGAGACCTTCAGGGTAACACACCCCCCTCCTTTGTTCTTTTTCCCACTCACCTCCCTCTCCACCCAATTCCCCCTTCCCCTTACATTTCCAAGCCTTCCCATATCCTCCCTTTTCTATAAGCACCCTTCTATTTGACAAAATCATTCCCCACCTTCACTATAACATCACCCAACCCATATTACAGTCACCATTCTTATTTTTGGCATTGGGCTACATCAAGTTCTGTCAAGGAGAAGATATTATGTCAATCTTTAAGTTAATTTAAACTTTCTAGTTTTAAAAATTATATGCAAACTGTATCTAGATGGAATTCATTTTACCCACTATTATAAACCTGTATGTGCAAAAATGTATAAATATTAATGAAAAAAATTGAATTGGCTTTTGAAAACAACCCAAGTAAAATGCATGACATTGTATATTCATGAAATGCACCAGTGATTGGCCTCAAGTTCTCCCCTGCTCACTGACAGTCTGAGTGCTGCCAGACAAAGGATTACAGAATGGTAAAATGAATTCAGATTCAGGCATGTACACTAGTTACATTAAAAAATACATTGAGGGGAATTAACTAAGACTGGAGTAGAGAGAATATGGAACAGCTGTGCACGGCAACCAATTAGCTCCTAACTTTCATTTTTCAAACTAAATAAGCTGAGACCTCAAAATGGAACTATGCCAGCTTATTCTTTACAGCAAAGGAAGCTGCCATCTTATCCTATGATTAATCTGTAGTTGCCATGGTGCTGCAAGTGATCAGTTATGACACCTGTCATTTGATGGCATGACAGTTTGGTTGAGAACTCAAGAATTTGTGACAGTTATCATTAATGGCATGCCTTGATTGTAACTGTTTGAGGAAGAAATTATATTGATTGAGTTTACTTTTGATGTAAGCGAATTGGTAACTATGAACAGCTGCATCAGATTCCATCTCCCATTTTAGTAAATTCCCCACATTTACCTTGGAGCTTTCACATGACTAAAAATTAAAAATGCAACTCTGGCTGCTATAGTCACCTGATCACTGGCACTGTCTCCTGTGACGGAACGTGGCATCCGACCCCTGCCCTTCTCACCAACTCAAGAGTGAAGGACCAACCGATCTCGCACCGTGCTGTCACTTGCGTAACAATGCCACTCTCAGCTGCACCCTGCACAAAGATTTTCCAGCTCACGGGGTCACAATCTATGTGCCAGCAGCCTGAGAGCAATAGTTATTGGGTTAGGTTAATTACACAATTAACCCTTCACACTGCTTACCACCGCCTTTTTACAGAGAAGGAGGAAACTCACAAATCCTAGCAATGACACTATGATATTAGCATAAGCGTCTGTAAAAACATTGTCACCACAGACAGGTATATTCAGAGGATTATTACATACAGTAGCACTCTTCAGAGACAGGGATTCTTTAGTTTGCATTAAAATCTTTAGAGACAGTTTCTACACTTTTCAAAATTTGGTTTATTACTAAAAAGGTCAAAACAGTGCAATTAAAATATTTACAGAAAAAGATGTTACAAAGACATAAAGAGAACAATAATGCAACAGAGAAATAAAAGAAAGGAGTTAGGAAGGTAGAATATTTGCAAAGTCCTACTTTAGCAGAGTCCAACTGTCTGAGCAAAAAGGTTGCCTTGGCTCTCAAGTCTGTTAAGAAGTTTTTTGATTGATGTTAAACGAGAGCTCCCTTCTCCAGGTCTGTCAGTTACTTTCTATGATATTAAAGGGGTGTTGCCTGTGAACAACTGACCAATCATCCAGTTTGGGGATGGGTTCTAGGAGGCCACCAAGTTTACAACCGAGTCCCACTACAATTTCATACTGATATCAATAACTTCCAATACGTGCAGGTGGCATTCTAGCAACTGGCAGATTATTATTAAGAATTATATTTCAAACCCAGGGATACCAAACACAGCATACCCTTGTCACCCTGGAGGGAAGAGACTGCACTCTCCCCCTTCCCATGTGCCAACAGAGTCACGTATGACCTGGATCTGTTTGGCCTGAAATGATCATTCCAAATATTTACCTAATATTAATGTGTGCAGTTACTGTTGGATGTTATGAACTATATGTGAAATAGTTACATGTGGAAAAGATGTTTTATGGCACGCTCTGCATTCCTAGAGCCCTAATGGCCTAACAGGTCATGTGTGACGGCTGACTGAGTTATTGTTTTACGATAGGGCAGAGGAAAGTGGTTTATTTAAGATAAGAGGCTCTATTGAAGTCTGTTACAACTTAGAGCTACAAATTCCATTTCAAGAGGAGGGAGGAGAGATGATTGTTCTTGAAAAACAACATGGCTGAGACCTTAACAAGATGGCTGTCGCGTACAGCTTCCATATCTGTATTACGCATAATAGTTACATCTCCAGACACCAATCAGAGTTGAATGACTTAAAGAATCACTTCCTGTGAGCCCAGGCCATGAAGGCCCCACCCCATTACTTTGGACTCACAGAAGA